ATAGCTGATATCTAGAAGCTGTTTGATGCCTAGGAACAAAAATTTCCGTTCATATTAATGACATTAAAAGCTTGGCACAGCGTGCAACTGCTACGCTCTATATACGTACCCAAACAACATCAAATACATAATTTGATCACGATTCATATAAAACACATAATAATATAAAAATAACTATTTACTACCCCCATGGGAGACAAGCGTGAGGCGTATGTAACTATTTGAATAATTGAGGAATGGCATTAGCACACACAGGCCTCTACCTCCCAACGTCGCTGCAACTCCTGAGAGTCAGAATCTACATTAGGTACCTAACTACCTAGAAAAGTAATATCTATTTGAAAAACATGAAATTAACGTTCAGATATCCATAGCGTCGCGTAGTCATGTCATTAAAAAATCTAGTTTCTCCTATGTATATTTTTATGTGTGTATTGACTTTTAACAACTTTGAATACACGTCTTCATTTTATCCTTTTTATCCAAGTAATTTTAAGGACCTAGGTATTATAGTATATTATGAACTGAATAAACTTCATTAATTTTACAACAATAAAAATAAAACGAAAACGGCGTTTGCAAACTTGTTTAAATAACTGGTTTGTGTTTTTTTGAGGAAAACACTCCTTCATGTGTGACTTAGGTTGTGAATAAGCAGAGATGATTAGTATAATAGACGTATTACCATTATTAGTAATACTGCAGCGTTTAGTTTTTAGGTACGGTGGCCGGGTTAAGCTATCCGTTTCTGTCAATATTCTCTATTACATCTTCGACATTATTGTTTTCATATTAAGTTAAAAATAGAATGAATAAACTTTACAGATTGGAATAGTTTGATCTGCTCGCCACTGTATCTGGCTTTGTATTTCACCTACAATAGTAATTCAATATTTTCTTCAGCTAACCTTTTCTCAATTAGCTTGGATTTTGTAATGAATTTTAGTACAATTTCATCAAGAACTAAAAAATCAATTGCGAGGTCCCAATCATAGACAATATATTCTACTATACTAAACGTTCTCTTACTAAATTTTCGTTGAAATAAAACGTGGAATTTCGCGTGAGGGGCGATAACAGCATACTTAGATATTAAATAAGACTTAATCTCATAGACTTAAAAATTAAATCTGTGCTTATACCGAACTCCTTGCGTGGTTACTATGCTAATATTTATTTTAATCCGTTATCTTGGTTATTTTTAAAATCTTTATTATGTAGCATCAACGAACAAAGTAAAATGCAGCCGAGTTGTTCAAAGTTATTAGGTACTTATTATCTTTTTGGTTATTTATTTTAAGCAAGTACATATTATGCTCACGCCTACCCCACACAACATCCCTATGATTATGATTATATTATGGTTATGTAATATTATCCGTACATTTTTTTAAATTGGTATTAATTTTGTCAATTAATCTACTTCAAAAGTAAAATCGGTAATAACCGATATTCGAGTTTTTCACGTAATATAATTATAATAATAATACATATATGTAATTGTAATATATTTTTGTATTTTAAAAGCGAAATGTGAATTGGAACTAAATTATTGCGCATTATAATTTTATCTAACAATGGTTGGATTATAATAAATCTGTTTAAAGTTGTTACATTAAATACGTTGGCAATTGTCAATTGCATACCGTTACTTCATTAGTGATAAGGCCAAGTAATACATTGTAGAACTATAATTGCAGTATAATATTACTTTAATTGCTGTATTCTGAATTTAAAAGCATATTTCGGACAAAATCTTTTTTTCTTCATTGTGAAAAAAATTACCTGAATTTTCATTACTATCTTAGGAAAACTCTCTACCTCTAATAAATTATTGACGTATGTAAACTATGTTAAGTAACAGTAGTTACTTACTACAAGTTAGGAAACTAGTGCTTGAATGATCAGGATGAACGTAATGGCGGCGAAAGAAGTATTGAATGTGGCATTTTATTTAGACTTTTGACCTTCTCCCATAAGATAAAGGAGTAAATTTACGTACCTACTAGCTCCTCAACTCCTTGCCTATGATGCCTACTCGTACTACTTACCAAATTCTTTATCCACGTTTATCTACTTAAGTACTTACTAGCTTTTGCCCGCGGCTTCGCCCACTTTTCTGAAGGATAAAAAGTGCCCTATATGTTTTTCCAGACCACAATCTACCTCTGTTCCAAATATTATCTCGTCATTTTTAGCCATTATGACGTGAAAGAATAACAAACACACACATACATACGTAGGATTTAAAGGTGAATGAAAAAGTTTAGAAGCTAGAAGTATGTATTCAATTTGTTCATTTTAAGAGCTGTTAGTTTTGATAACACTGTTGACTGATAAAAGTATTAGGCACTTACGGAGACGTTCTTGATAGTACAGTTTGGTTTAGAGACGATATTGACAAGCTGAATTATGTATAATTCTTGTGAGTGCAATAACCGGTACTTACTTAACATCTACATGACTAGATATATCTTGCGACAGTGTAGAAGATCCCTTTAATATAGTCGTGGTCCGTAACCATATCTACATAGACACCCTAATTCCACCGCTTCCTATTGAAATAGATCTAGCCTCAGCGTCTAAGAGTATACTATAACGTCTCATTGAAAATATTCCATTCAGTTTACTATTAAAATGAATTGCATACTTATTACTTATTCATTTTCATGTACTGCGGAAAAGTTCTCAGAAGACTGGCAGCATTACCACGTTATATGTCAATATAGAAATCCTTACTAATATTATAAATCGGAAAGTGAGTTTGTTTGTTTGTTCCACTTTCACGCCGTAATTACTGAACCGATTGCTTTGAATTTTTGCAGACGTGAAGTTAGAATTCTGGATTAAATAATAGGGTGCTTTTTAACCCGGAAAAATTTGATATTCTCGAGGGAAAACGAAATTATTGGTACAGATAGCGCTGTGTGTTGTGACGCGAGCGAAGCCGCGGGTAAAAGCTAGTTATATATAATCTCAGAAATGGTTGTAATAACTAAGTATTTACTCAATACAAATATTTTCTGGCATTCGTTATGCAAAATATGTTATCTCTAGAATTAAGATAAAGCTGTTGATGGTAGATATTTATAGAGGTAAATGTTTATGTAATTAACTGAAAGTACATAAGAATAACATAAGAAAACGTGGCGTCCAAAAGTATGTAGAGGTAAACCTTTTGCCAATCCTATCCTTTTAATAAGTTAAATGCAAACATTTATGTTTGTTCGTTTGTTTGTTACTCCTTCACATCAAAACAGCTAAAGGGATCAAGATGAAATTCAGAGCTAGCCTATGGGCCAGGGAATAGTTATTGAATAAGTTTTGTATTATAGAGAACAGTCCTATTGCTATACACTGTACTACTTATTTCTTTATCCTCTTCTAAGCAGTCATGTAAGACCACTAGACACGTCATTGTTAAGAATAATTCGTTTTTTACTTTTAATAAATCTTTCAAACATAATGATTTGAAGATACCTACGTCCTACATCTTCACCATCACCTCGATGCCGTAAAAAAAGAATTAAGTTCACAGGATTATTTATCTTCTTGAGAAAAAGTTTTTTTACAGTTTAACGTTTGCAAAAAGTGTGCAATGAAAAAAATGTAATGTACATTATAATATAATACTTTTTATTATTTTGAAGCAATAGAAGATAAACAGGTTTGAATAAGTACGACAAGACGATGATGTAAATAATATAAAATAATGAAATATTTAATTTTTGTTGTTTTTGTTATCTTGAGACCGAGCTGTAGAATATTAATACTTTATAATTTATTTATAGCACTTATTAAACATGATATTTAGTGGTACATTAATGAAATATATCTACATATATAACATTGTTTTAAATGCAACTACCGTGTACGATTTGGGCTGATGAATAGTAATGGTTACTATCCCTATACTGAATCAGTCTTTTTCGTACCTGAATACTAAATAACCTGGCTCCTGGCTACCAGTACTTATGTACCTACATGGTACCTACCTCCTACTTACCCAGACCCCAGACATAAGGAAAAAATAGGTTTTCACTTGAAATTACATTTACCTTCCTCTAATTGTGTGGACGTGACTCTACATTGTTTAAACTTAATTTCTATTTGTTAGTTAAAATTTTGTATTGCGTTTTTCCAACTTGTATAAAATATGTATAAATGATATATGTATATATGGGCTTTTTTGTATGTACATAGGTACCGAATATTCTTGTCAACGTGAGTGTCATGGCGTTATAAATAGTTTTTCTTTCTTTTATATAAAGGTTGTGAATTGTAGTAGATAAGTATGTAAGTACACAATGTAAGTAGGTACATTACGGATTATTTGTGGTGACAATAAATAATCAACAGAAAATATTACAATCATAAATAAACAAAAGTCAGTTTTAATTCGTAGACTAAGTGAAATGAAAAAAAATCATGTGTAATGAAACCTTTATTTGTGAAAAGTAAAGTGTGGTGAAAAAAATAAAAGGTAAGTAGATATACCTATTTGGGTAGATGATTATTCTATATGTTTTGCCTATTCTAGATCAAACAGCGTTGAAAGTTAGGTGGTTACATACATACGTACAGACAGATATACTAGAGAACCGCACAGATCGATTGTTGCGATTATTTAAAACTCCAAATCCACCAAAAAGTTACACTTTCTGTATAGGTATACGTCTATAATACCTACCTTTTGTATAAAAGTACGAGTTGAGGCTTTCATACAAATGATATCCTCAAAGCAGTTTTACAGTTATATTTATGTTTCTGAATTATAAACTGTCGACTGTGAATGAGGTAAATGGGAAATCCCTTTAAACCAGAATGGCAATGCAATGGAATAATTTATGTTGTATGCAATTAAATCTGAGGTCCGATGTATGGTAAAAGGAAATCACAATTTGCAATTTACTTTTTAAATTAGTAAGAGATTCATCCCCAAACTAACAATGTCACAGTTTAACTTAAAAAGGTAATGAATATATTAAAGAGTTGCTTACCCAATGCAAAATACTGCAAATATCACGTACAAATTTTTGAACTCCATAATTATCACAATAAGTAGTTATCTAAATAAATAAAAATATCACTGAATGTTCACTGCGAGAAAAACAAAATTTAATTTCTAGTTCTTAACATTTCATTAATAATTTAACTTGAATAAAATATTTAAAGTTGCGATGGAACATGTAATGCGCGCGAAAATCCAGCGCGCACTGAATGCGGTGGCGCACAGTGCGGTAGCGCTACGAACTCTGCTCCTGCGCAGAGAGACAGCTAAGATAAAGGTCTCGTAGTAATGTCGTCATCGCATACACGAAACACGCAAAACTGTATACCTGTATCTGGAACCAGTCTGGAAGCACCTACGTAGTTTGTAAACATGGTTTCCATGTACAGGATCTTGATTCATATTTAATCAGTTAAGTAAGGTTAAAGTAATCTTGTTCGTTAAATCCTCCATTACGACTTCCTTTAATAAGTACATCTGCAAATGACCTTTACGAATGTGAAAAAGTCTAGACGTATTGTTAGCAAAATGATATTTGTAGCTACTTTAAATAAAGGTGAATTTGTCTGTCTGTGCCCCAAATTAGACCAGTATAATGTTTATTTAAATAAATTAATAAAAACTGCATTCTCAGTTCTACATGTCATTAAATATAACCTACTTAAGTGTAACTTAAGAAAAACTGCAACTGAAGTTATTTTAAACAAAAACCTTAGTTGCTTGTGAAAAAGTGGTCAAGGTAGCGCTCATTGTAATGTCATTAACCCAGGCTAATTACTTGTATACTACGTATGAGTTAAGACGGTTGACGTTCACTGTTGAACATGGCCATTCTCAAAATCCATTATAATAGGGAGTCCTGTTAAGGACCATCGAGTATTATTTCTACAATCAACCTCTTTTTTAAAAATAAAATCTTAAACGTCATCGTAGCGTTTGAAAAAAGAAGGCATAACTTTTTTTTAATTCAGTTCCCCTATACATATTAAATTCTCTTTGGAAGATAATTTCTCCATCACCGATGAGTTCACATCATCGAACTGGCATTTTGCGGGTACAAAATTATTTCATATCTAAACAAACCGGTTAGGTTATTGGCATGATAAACCTTTGGTCTGATACAGGTTTGACAAAATACTGCTCATTCAAAAGTTCAAATATAAGGTACCTACAATGTATAACTTAATAGTGAAGCTTGCATTCAAACCATTGACAATAGTTTAGTAACAAGCTAACAAGTTATAAATCCTCCAACTAGAGCCAACAAATCTTTGTAAGTTTACAAAATTAGTTTGAAAACAAACTACAAGATCAACTATAAATAAAAATACCGTTTACTTACATATCAATATTAAGAGTGAAAGCTGCGAACTTTGTTGGGTATCTGGGTGTATTCAAGGTCCGTGTGTATTAAGTATGTAGGTGGCTTATTATGGGCAGGCGTCTCCATCTTTGGCTACATCATTGCTTTCTATCAGCCGAACTATATGTCTGTCATCGTTTACCTAACTGACAATAAATATGTTGTTGTAATAGATATAGGTTGCGGGCAAAGCCGTCTTGGACTACGCTGGGGTCCTTGGGCACAAAATAATCCGGAGCCCGTTTGGAATAACTTTTTTACGTTGCCCTACACTAGGATTTTCTACAGTATACACGATACTATATCTATTACAACAACAATGCCCGCAACCTATATCTATTACAACAACATTGCATTTACAAAAATACAAGTTCGCATACACATGACACCCAAACCCGAAACAACAATTTGGGGATCACACAAAAATTTGCTCGATACGGAAATCGGGGCAGCCGGTTTTTTTTTTTTTGAACTCAATATTTAATGGGGACAGCCGGTTACTACGCAACGTGTAGCGGGCGTGTGTCCATCGTTGAAATTGTCGGTCCTTCCTGGCCATCTGAGGATGAGCCCTGGACACGAGCCCCGAGTGCCCTTATGGTTAAGATGGTTGTGGGTGTCCATGGACAGCGCTGATAGCTTACCATAGCCATCAGGTGATCCGTCTGCTCGTTTCCTCCTATTCCATAAAAAAGTACACACCAGGGGCGAGCCCTTCGGGGGAGACCCGGCGACATGCATTTAAAACTTTGAACAGCATTCGAAATTAAATATTGAGTTCAAAAAAATCCAATTAATTATGTTCACTCATTTTATTCCGCTTATTAATACAGTTGTAAATAAGGTTATTCGCTGAAATTAAGTCTCCGTACTCATTAGTCTGTATAAATTTTCATTATTATGGTAGAAACTCAACCAGTATGCTGGGAGTGGGAATAACCTGCAGAACGCCCGCATCATTCATTAAGTATGACGTACACTGTTCACTTCTTAGTCACTTTTAAATCCCTTCAAAATTAGAGTTTTCCTTATAGGTACCTAATGTAGCTACGTCGAATGGATAAATAAACAGGTGTTTGTATATTATTATCTTTGTGGCGAAACAACCTCTCGAATGTAAATTAGCTTTTTACAAACTCTACTATTCCAATAATATCTATCATAAAATGTTTTGATTCACATTTATTGCGATATGTTCGATTTTTATTCATGAAATCCTATTATGATTGTATAAACAAATCGAATTTTAGTGATAGACTACATTTTAATAATTATTCTTACAAAGTTATACATATTTCTTAAGTACCTAATATAATTGCTTTCTATTACTTGTTAAAAAATGTATTTTTAGGCAGACTATTAGTTAGGTTAGTACTTACATTTATTATCATTTTGTTATAGGATTTTTAAGGGGGGAAATCATCGAATGACTTCACCGCGGTGAGGCGGGAGTGTCAGACTCTTACTGACTAAAACCCACCCCGTTCCTACTCCTGCACTTCGAGCCCGAGCCCCGGTAACCCGTTAAGTTCTTCGCGGCTCCGTATCAGTATCAGCCCTATTGGGCCCCATCTGTGATGGTCTGATGGCTCTTTGATTGAGCACGCTCGCACGCTCGGGTCTGGTTCTGGTCGGGCGGCGACGGCGAGCTACCCATGCCATTACATGCCACACCATTGATAAACAAACATTAAAATATAGTTAACATGTGGATAAACTATATGCCTTTGCTTTGTTCTCTCAACAAAAATAATTAACTCACCTTTATTATACCACAATTAGTTTAGGATAACAATAATGCAACATTCCATTTTTTTAACTAAAGGATCACGCGACGGTGGACTGGATTGGTGGCTAAGATGTAGGTATTGTTTTTATTTAGGTAACTACTGATACCTGCAGTACCTAATTATTAAATACTTGCGGTTTTTGTTAAAGAAAAAATAGAGGACAAATAACGATTGACCACAATAATAGGTCCCTATATACTAAATTCAACATCTTAAAAGCAATGTTACCGATGGTGAACAGAGGAAAATTATATAAAATTAAGACAACTATAAAATTACCTACTTAATACACAAATACCAGATTTTACAAGTAAGTAAATTTAAAATATTTACGCTTTAAAAAATTACCAGATTAATTACTAATTTCAAGCCAGACCTTTGAAGTGGTAGGAAAATGTAAAACCAATTTTTCATCTGTTATGTTTACTTTCCCATGTAATAAGGGCTTAATCAAGTGCCATACACTGGGTGCAGTTGCGCACTTCGTGTTACTGCTGAATATTTGTCGGGAAATAGAAAAGTCCCAATAACAGTACTGTACAGTCTCATCCCGGGAATCGTACCCACAAGATTCCTTACTTTAGTAGTGGGTTTTGCTGCGTCGCGATATGATTAACTTGCAATCATTAGACCAACGAATGACATTATGAGACACTCTATTAGGTCTTTTTTTTTTAAGGGGGGAAAATCATCGAATGACTGCTCCCGCCTGGGTGAGGCGGAAGGGAGTGTCAGACTCTTACTGACTAAAAACCACCCCGTTCCTTCTCCTGCACGTCGAGCCGGAGCCCCGGTTACCCGTTAGGTTCTCCGCGATACTCTATTAGGTCTAGGGTCTAGTTTACCTACTACAGCTAATTACGAATTCAAATCAGATAAAAAGCTATTTACAGCGCACAGTATATAATTTTGGCTTACTTGTGTCCAGGTTCAGTTTATGTGTTTATTTGATAGCTTTTACTACTTAAGAGTCTTATCAAAAACGACGAAAAATTTATTTTAGTAATTTTGCTACGCATAGCAAAACTGACGTTAGAATTAATGAATGACATTCTATCTAAGCCTCATAATATTTGAGCAAATTTCCTCAATATTTACTTCTTCTTTCGATTAGTCATTGGTTCACCCGCAGGTTGTAGGTATACTCTGTTTACACAGTATGGCGTAATACGGTGTAAACCATATCATTTACCTAGTTACTTACCTAATTTATCTACTTCTACCAGGGCCGGATTTAGGGGGGGGGGGGGCAACCGGGGCGAAAGCCCCGGGGCCTCCACAAGCAGGGGGCCTCCACAATAGACTTCGGATAAAAATCTTTCAAATTTCAACTAGTAAACCTAGTAAACATCTTTTCTTTGATACTTTTTTTTCGCTTTTACCTTTACCTACAGCCTAAAGTACTTTATACATACATGATTATTTGATTATATTAATTTTAAATATTAACAGAAACAGAAATCATTGATCTATATTTGTTCACTCCAAGCAATCAGTGAAATATCAAAATCTCAAATGGCTCTGATAAGCACTTCCAATTTACTACCCATTTTGAGGGAGTACCCCAATGGCTCAATGGCTCAGTGGGATGGTACTTGCCCGCAACCTCGGAGGTTGGCTATTCGATTCCGTGTCTCGACCATTAAAAAAATTAATTGCAGTATGTGAACAATTGGTATTCTTCAATTCTTAAACTCGAAATCTGTCGAGCGTCCTCGAAATCTATCGAGCATCCTCGATCATTTTCGAGCATCCTCGATCAATCGAGCGTCCTCGATTGTTTTCGAGCGTCCTCGAAATCTATAGGGCGTCCTCGATCGTTTTCGAGCATCCTCGATTGTTTTCGAGCGTCCTCGAAATCTATCGAGCGTCCTCGAAATCTA